CTGGTGGATAACAAGTTAAACATGAGCCAGCAGTGTGCCCTTGTGGCCAAGAAGGCCAATGGTCTCCTGGGGTGCATTAGGCAGGGTGTTGCCAGCAGGTCGAGGGAGGGGATCCTGCCCCTCTACTCAGCCCTGGGGAGGCCTCACCTGGAGTACTGTGTCCAGTTCTGGGCTCCCCAGGACAAGAGAGACATGGCACTCCTGGAGAGAGTCCAGCGGAGGGCTACAAAGATGATGAGGGGCCTGGAGCATCTCTCCTATGAAGAAAGGCTGAGAGAGCTGGGACTGTTCAGCCTGGAGAAGAGAAGACTGACAGGGGATCTGATCAACATGTATAAGTATCTGAAGGGAGGGTGTCAAGAGGATGAGGCCAATCTCTTCTCCGTGGTGCCCAGCAACAGGACAAAGGGCAATGAGCATAAACTGAACCACAGGAAGTTCCATCTGAACCTGAGGAAAAACTTCTTCACTGTGAGGGTGACAGAGCACTGGAACAGGTTGCCCAGAGAGGTAGTGGAGTCTCCTTCGCTGGAGATATTCAAAACCCGTCTGGATGTGATCCTGGGCAACATGCTCTAGAGGTCCCTGCTTGAGCAGGGAGGTTGGACTAGATGATCTCCAGAGGTCCCTTCCAACCTAAACCATTCTGTGATTCTGTGATTCTGTAATTCTTCCAACATTACTGTTTGCTTTCAAGATATCCCTTTAACTTAGAACTTACACTCCTGCCTGCATCACATTTTCTTTTATGCAGATTTGCTTGTTTCATGGACATTATCATTTCTATATGTGATGGACTGTATCTTTTGATATGTTCATGTTGCCTTCAGTACTGTTAGCCTGGTATAATCACTAGGCAGCTGTTTGCAGGGCATCTTAACGTCCTAGGGATTGATTTCCTGAAAACTTTTCAATTGTTTCCTTACAACGCCTGCTAAGTTAGAAGCAGGCTCTTCTGAGCAACATTCCCTGATTGAGCTCTCAAGAGCATCAGCTACACACTCCTCTGTACTACTTGGGACCTCTAGTATTATTGGAGAACTACAGATTTTTTTTTTTCGGCATTTTAGTCAGAAAACAGAAAACAATGTTTTGTAATTCCTATTGTTTGCTCTTCTTCTTCATAGATTGTGAAATGAGGGCAGGAGGGGAAAAACCAGTAGAGAATTGTTACCTGAGAAGGCATCAAAAGTCTGGGCATGCTTTATGCAAGTTCTCCTCCTCTCAGCTTTCATATACTTTTTTGTGTAACATCAGGAGATTATCCTTTTTGCCCTTTTCTCCTTTTCCCAGGTCTTATTAATTGGTTGTATTATATTTCACATTAATATATGCTGAATATCGTTTGCAAGCAGTTCCACGCAAGGATTGTGACTTTATATATTTTCTATGTCATCTAAATTATTAAGACAGTTACTCCCTTTCTTCCCCTCAGTAACAACAAACCAACATACCCTCTATTCCCCAAAACTCAAGCAAGAATTCCTACTTGAATAAACTAAAATAATTAAAGAGTAAAATAAAAAAAATATATTAATTTGTATATATTTAGAATGTCAATTTCCCAGTACTAATTCCCCCCCTAATAACAAGAGATAACATAAAGGTATATTGAAAGGACAGTAAAAATTAATTTCTTATGATATTTATTATATGCCTGATTCCCAGTTCTGAAAACAATCATAATAACCTACTTTCAAAAAATTTCTAATATAATTTTAGTTATAAAACATGAATGAAGAAAACTAGTGAAATACAATTATGCTTTACAAGACACTAGAAAGAAACTTTAGAGACACTAACAGACATTTCTTTACTGATTTCAGCACGGGACACATGTTGAAACCTTAGTTGCTATAAATGTAACATTTTCTGTAGAACTGTAGTATTGCTGGTATCTCCTGATATCAACATGCTTTTTCAACCCTGCCATGTCAACTAAAGAGATACTTGGCTGACCACTTGAGCATAATGTCTTCAGAAATTACCTAAAGAGCCTTTATACTTCAACCAGTTTCTCTATAACAGTGCCTTGCAATCTGAGTATCACCTGCCTTTCAGCTACAGAAATTAGAGGAAGTCTGCAGCACGTTCAGTATTTTGATACCAGGCCTTGTGTCAGTGCTTGTATCAATACATGATTTCTTTGTACAGGCATTTAACATCTGAAACAGGACGATAATGTGGTAAAACAGGGAATAGTTATCCATTCATTAAATAAACAAACTGAAAGTTTTAAACCTCAGGCATTCATATATAACCCTGGTGCCCAATATTTTCTTTAAGATGGTCCAAAGGACAGACACTGAAGATATGCACAACACTTCTTCATGATGTGACCTCCCCCTCTCCTAACCGACTGGCCATCACCTTGTCTTGCTAGAGACACATCTCTGCGCATATACTGTTGCCAAGGGCCAAACAATCCCTGACGTGCTCACTGACATGCTCACCATATGGCCAGCATGCATGTATGACCCATTTATTTAAATGAAGCACATGACTGTCACGTGCGGCCACAGGACAAGCCCCTCTGGGTCATGGGATGGGAGATAACTCGAGAGCTCTTGTCTAATAGGGCACAGGAGCTGGTACACTGCAACAGTTGAATAAGACAACTCATGCCCAACCTACAGGCGCGAGTCCTTTCCAGAAAAGGACAGCAGGAGCACATCTGTGCTCTACACACAGAGTCCTGACTGCAGCAGGACTTCCCTGAGTGCAGCCTTCTCCTGGGGAGGAGTAGAGGGGGAATGATGGCCTGCCAAAGCCATGCAGATCCCTCTGGTCTCTGCTGCAGCTGTAACAGGACTGAAATAAGTTTCTGTATTCACGAGTTTTTCAGAACACCCCTTCATAGTGAACGAGTCAAGAGACCTTGAGTAATTTTGAAAGATACAGATTTCACATTTGTCCATAACCAGATCATCCAATCAGTTTTGGGGCAACTGGCTGGATATAACAGTGAGAGAGAAGCTTCACATTAAAAGTGCCATCCCAAAAAACCAGCTCAGCATGGTATTTAAATTAAGTCTAAGCAAGCCCCACAGAGATACAGATTCTCTCTAGTCTCTCTGAGAAACTTATAGGTGAAAAGCATACGAAGAGCTGACTTCCTTCTTAAATTCAGTTAATATCTCTCACATTAAGACAGACCAGATTAGATCAGAACTACTAATGCAGTTCATTATATTTGACTTGACATCCACATACCTGTATGATACAGTTGATGTGGTTACATATCTGTTCACTATCACATGAGCAAAAATAATTTCTAGGTGAGTATGCAGCTAGGTTTTTTTCTAGACATTTCCCAGGTCTATATAAATATGACTTCATCTTTCCCCTCATTCATTGAGCTTGGAGAAAATAGAAACATGTATGAAACTGCCATTTCCATAACCAGCAACTGAGCTGGTAAGACGACACACTCCTGCAAAGATTTGCCTGCTGATGTAGTCATCAGTGTCTGCATGATTTTCAGAGCTTTTGCTATGTACATTCTTTCCCCTCCACTTCTTCATTCCCTCCTTTCTCACATAGTGTTCGGTAAGGCGCACATTCAGATCTCCCTGTTCTCTTTCTGTGCTTCCCCTTCTGCACCGCTTTCTTATTCCTCCTTTCAGTGTCCCCTCTTTCTCCCGTCTACTCTTTCCAGGTTTTTAAGTCCTCCTCTTACAAAATTTTACTCAGAAAATTGGCCAAAATTTTTGGCATTGCAAACCATCATTTTACTGCATTTACTTGCACATCAAACCTCTTATCACTTCAGTTTCACCATATAAATTGCAGACTTTTCAGAGAAGTGAAAAATCTTTTATCAAGGCTTGAACAGTGTTTAGCACAATGGAGACCTTCAGATGGGACCACATATTGTTAAACACTACTGGCAAAAGTGATGTTGAACCATACAACAACATTACATCTGTTTTGCTTAGATACTGAACATATATCTCATGTATAGAACTTTAAATATATAAAAACATGTATGTGCATATCTATATACGTTGCTTATTTATGCTTTATATAAAATAATTTTAATACAAATAATCCTTTCCAACATAAAGTACACTGGCTAATTGGCAATGAGAGCTTTTCAGAGTGCATTATATGGATTTTCCCTGAAATAGGAGGAATAAAGTGCATTGGATTTTAAATGCTTTGAGTGTCAACGTAGAAAATCTGTCCACTTTTCCGAGGCAGACTATTTCAGTGATGAATTTTAACTGACATAACCAGAAATGAGGAAAATTTATACTGATCGTGAATATGCTTGTAGGCTGAAAAGAAAGGAATTAAAAAACAATAAAATGGTTGTACTAATGCAGCAAAATGTAATATGTAATCGTGTTCATGAAAATTATTTTGTTTCAAAATAAATGTTCCATGTTCAAATATGAGAAAAAACATATGCAAGCACTATTCAGAACAAAAGAGAAGGAATTTTGCAACTGCATTTAGCGATCCTTCACAAACTATTAGTAAGAATTCCCCGAAACATAAGTACAGCAGCTCACGCTGGTTCCTGAGAAACAAAGGGATTATTGCATTAAGTTGTTTCTAGCAAGTGGAAAAACACAAGCCTCAGTCCAACCTGAAAAGGATCCTTGCTGAAAAAAATAAGTTTAGTAAATGTCCAGACAATTAAAATGTTTGACCAATTTCTTCTCTCCCTAGAATACTGTTCATGAAGCAATGCCAACAAGATATTCAAACGATTAAGTTGCAATACATGCATAATACATACGTTCAAATGATACTTCAAGAGAAAAAGAATCCAATTCCTACCAGTTTGGCTGAGTTGTGACGTGCTGCGGCTTTTTCTCGAGAGGCCCACAATGGCGACCATCTTGGCACCAATGCTGGAGCGTCTCTTTTTGCCGCCACCACCAACAGTGCCCACTGCCGTGTCCGACTGGCTGCCATCGTTCTTGTCGAGTGTGTACATGTCCCCGCTGATGCTGGTGCTCTTGGTCATGTTCTTTCCTGAGGCGCCCATCTGTCTGCTTTGCATTTTGGATGTAAAGACACTGTCAGCCAGTGGACGAATAAACAGTGCAGACAAAGAAGAGTAAAAAGGGGAAGACAGAAAAGGACAGGTTTCAGATGGAAAGTTTTGGGACACTGGAGGGTAAAAGCAGCTAATTCACACAGGTAGGGTTTGTTTTTCTTAGAGGTAAAGAGGAATAACTTTAATTGTTAGGTTCCTGTTTGGTGTCCTGTAAACATACTTGACTCATCCAAATTTTGTTTTAAACACTAAGCTCTTATTCACTGATTGTCATTACCAGCAAAAACATAGCAATGATTGAATACATTAGGATACCATATATAGAATTTTTTAAAATTTTATGCAAAAAGACCAGTATGTTCCTGCACATTTTTATTTTGTTCTTAATGATTTCAGTGTTGTTCTTTCATATTTCACTTATCAAATCACAAATATTGGTTCATCTAGTTTATCAACTAAGTAGATTCTGAAAATGGCTTGAGTAAAGATCGCCTGGGCCAGGTAAGGGAAACAAAGCAAATAAAGCACAGAAAATGTAATTTACAGTGCTGCTTTTTTCAACAGCAAATCAGAGGTGCAGAAACCCAACACAGATGAATAGTAGTTACACATGAATTTTCACCTGATTAGACTTTTTCTTTGTTACTAGAAAGCATTTGTACTATGCTTATATCTCATTATAATAGCCTATAAAGCAAACAGTCAAAAGCTAACATAAGAAGTGTTTTCCATGCTTTTCCGTACGGTAGACCCTTCAGTAAGCTAAAGCAAAGGCACCTCCTGGCTCCTCTGTTGTTCTCATGATCTTCCTGCAGTAACTATAGTGCTTGATTACTTGAGAAAGGTCTGAGAACAGGGTAACAAGGCTAGGTTAAAAGACAACTTTCTTCAGTACAGAGCTTATCTAAGATTATTATCCCCATTTCTCTTATACATCTCTTCTATGCTTTTCTTGAGATTCATCTATCATAGCATCAAGTTTTTACCTTTGTTCACCCTTTTTCTTGTTGAGGTGACAGAGCAATATAGGGCTGTTGGATATTTGCTGTCCCCCTAAAAGTGCCATTATCTCCAAGTATTAATTGTCACTGTGGCAGCATAAGTACTGAAACACCAGAAGTGCTTCCTGTTGGTCATTACTGCTCCCAGCTTTTAGGTCTTATGACAAAACATTTGTTTAGCGATAACTTCTACTGTTAATGGTGCTAGCACCTATAGAACATGTTATTTATCTATTTATTTAAACTGGCAAGACACTTCAGAAATATATAAGTAAATGAAATGTTTTAATGAGAGGAGATCAAAAGGACACTGTACACAAATGCAGCAGTGAGGCTATTACATCCCAGGATGTACAAACCAAATAATACAGTTTTCAAGCCATCAGATAGAAGGTCAAATTGTGGGCAGACTGACACATAGTGGACCCAGGGCCCGATCTCCAAGAGGTCTGGGTTAAGGGACTTTTTCTTCGCACAGAAATGAAAGTCTGTAGTGATATGTGACATGCCTGGAGAAATACCCAGACTGGAAACTCGAAAGCACATGTAAGCCTGATAATATGCGTAAAGGATATTTTGATATTTTGAAGTGAAACTTCCTGCATAGAACTTGGATCTTTATTATTCTATTCAGTATGGCAAATCTCATTAATAAGGCCATGCTAGATACAGTGCCAAACCATCCATAGAGAAAAAAATCCTGGGATATTTTTGGAAATCATGGGAAATAATTAATTAAAATTGTCATTACATAAAGGCTAAAAAAAGGTTATTTTTGCTTTTTAAATACTTTCTCCAAAACATACTAAGGCTACTCCTAGAGCTGTGAGGCTTTACCTCTCAACAGAGGGCTCTAGAGTTGATTATTATTTATGAATTCATTCATATACAAATATATATTTGCAAATTTGCTTCTCTGGCCAGGAGAGTGTGAAAATAACTGAGGTTCCCTTAGAGGTCAGCTTTGTTGGCTGAGGAACAGTTCTGTGATAGCTGTGATTCCTTTCTGTGTCTTCTTTGGGCTGAACAGAGAGGTTATGAAAGTGCTCACTCTTGGCATAGGTTATTTTTGACTCCTTTGCCTATAGCTAGGCATAGCCACACTATTTTCCCCTTATGTATAATGGCTTAAATCGATTTCAAAAAAAGAAGGTAGTGTTGCTTCTTTATGAAGTTTTACAATAAACGTGCTGTCAATAAAACCTATCTAATAGATTAATACAGTGCCCTCAAAAGCCAAGGGACCACTGGGTCCCTTCCAGATGATTCAAGGGGAAGTGAGATAAGGCATCAGATTTGGAATAGCATGAACAGAGGAAGATACAGGAGCTGGTTTATCCAGGAAATCGACCTTAGGCATGATGTCAAAAAATACTGGGTGTGCTTCCTAAGGAAGTTATCAGCGAAAATTTGAGTTAGTATCATCAGCTGAGAAAAGCGCAAAACAAAGTTGAGAGACAGTCTTAGTGTCCTTAATTGGACAGACAGTAACACAAGTTTGAAATTTGTGGTAACAGGAAAGTTTTTTCATATCCTTTTTCACCTCTCCTTCTTATTACATGTTAGTACATATTGACGCACATTGTTAAATTTAACACTAAGACAAGAGCGGGATAGGATGCAAGTAAACGGGAAGGCACAGAAGAAAAAAAGTCAGTCTCTAGTTCTGGGTTTTTTTAACACTATGACAACTCATTCATAAGATGATGATTATATCACATGCTATATTTTCCTTGAAACTAACACCTTTAGGTATTGCTTCATAGAAAGGAGGTGCTACAGAAAGTAATTCTCAGTTTCAACACTATCTTGCATATAACAAACATTAGAGAGAGCTAGGAAGGACAATGTCGGGAAGAGCTCATATCTTCCACATTATTTCATGCAAAATTCTTCTAAGAATCAGAAAAGTATAGCCCTTTAACCGCTAATGCTATTTTAACCCACATTTTATACGGGAATATGATTAACGTGAATGTGCTGTCTGTCAAGTCTACTTCTTTTCAATAATTTTTTAATCAGTTGTATTCTAATTTGACATAGGAGTAGAAAACTAAAGCTCTTTAGTTCTTGTTCTTGAATTGTCTTTGAAAACAGATCCCTGGAGAGAAACTTTTATTAATGCCCCTTCAGGGAAGGCTGTACTGTAAGTCCCTGATATTTCACATGGGATTTAATTCTTACAGCACAGGTTGATAGGAACATTATTCTTACTGTTTGCAGAACAACCTATTCCACTAATGCTTTTTTCAAGAATGACATCCAGAAAATCAGTAGGTTCCTGTCATATTTACTAACAGAAAATAATAATTATTGCATGTTTTGTAAGTGATATTAACCCTTAGGAAAGGTCATAGCAGTGAAAACAGAAATCTTATATTTTCTCACAAAACTTTTACTGAGAAGAAAGCTCCCACTTCCCGAGTCTTATGTGCCTTTACCACATCATTGAAGCACTTCACGAGCAATTGCCCAAGATACATAATTCTATTGAAAAGCAAAGGATTGCAACAATCACCCCTATTGAAGCAAACAATGTGCCTAAAAAGGTTAGCATGCACACAAATTTGCTATAATTTCAGCAGACAGTTACTTATGAAAGCACTAGAACTAGCATTAGAAGGATCTGCTCCTTTGTTGCTGTTTAAGGACTTCAGTACCACAAAAGGAAGTTTTGCTCTGTATACCTGCTAACAATGAGGTAGACTTCATTCAGCCAGGTTCCACTGACCAACTAAGAAAATTAGGAGTGAGAATTCAAGTAAGGAAAAACAAATTTAGATTTAGAATTGTGTAGATATTTCAATACTAGTACAAATAACTAATATTGACAGCTCATTCACAGAGTCCTTTTTATTTTCCAATAGAGTTCTAAAAATATTTTCTCTAGTTAAAGTTTTTCCTCCTGAAAAACAAACAGCAGGGAAGACATCTTTGCTATGATCCCAACTAGCAATCAGCTCCTTGAAAAAGCCACCACATAGCAGTGACTTTGTCTTTCCTCAAACCCTCTTTCTCCAAGAAGGTTTGAGAAATATGTACTAGGAGGGTTTTGAATGGCTCATAGTGCCATTCAAAGTATAGCTGAAGGGATCATGAGCAAGCAAACTCCTTCCTCAACACTCTGAACCCAAACCCCTTTCATACTTTCTGGCCATCCAAGCCCTCGCTCACTAATCAGTCTTGGTAGATGCTTGGTATCTTCTCCCATTAAGTTATTCCTCTACCACGACTCTCTTTTGATAGCGCCAGAAATGGCTGATTCCCTGAAAAAATAGGGTGGCTTATGTCAGGTTTGGTTCCTTGCCAAAATAACAGTACTATGAAAGGGACTGTGAAGCAAAACAGTAAATCCTACAATGTTTTCTCTTAACAGGAAAAAAAAAAGATTTATCCATTGACTTTTCTTTACATGTATACCCATACACAAACACACATATCTATATCATCTTTATCTATATCTATATCATTTATTTATCCATATTACTCTTCTGGTCTATAAGTCTGGATCCTCATCTATAAGATTAGATCCTTGTATATTAATAAATATCTACTGGCAGCATGTAATAAAATTAAATTTAGCTGTAAATTGTAAATATGCACATAACATATCATAGGTAATATGGACACATGGATGTAAGATGATGGGCAAACTGCAAAAGACTTGAAATGAAAATGCTTTTAAGCTGGAAAACTGTGAAACCTGGAACATATAAGTATGTACCACCGTATTTTAAAACTGACATTAAATAACAGTAATTTATGAGACAAAGAATAGAACTGAACTAGGAATTAACTATGCTATTCCCAATCACATGTGAATAATAGCACAATTATCATCCTTATTAGAATCTAAAGATGAACAAAATCATTACAGAAACCCCTGTTCCTGGCAGCCTACAGCAACAGCAACAGAAAACAGTGAACTTGACAAGCTACTGACCTTGGCTTAATGGGGGCACCACCTAGCAGTCAACAAGAGCAGGGCGCTGGGCAAAACTCACAAGGGAATCTTGCT